GGGAGTTGATCCAGTTGCTCTGTACCCTGCTGACCCCTGCAAGAGCACCTCCTCAGCATCCCTGTGTGTCCAGAGGGTATCCCAGATGCAGGGACAGGGCATCTCATTGCACACATCTTGGCCCTGCACAGGACACTGCCCCTCTGCCCTTCCTAGAGCTCCCAGCTCCAGCTGTCCCCTCTGTCCCACCCTGCAGGAATGTCACAGGGCTCCTGGGGAACTCAGCCAAGGAGTCCCATGGCATGCCCCAGGTGATCCTGCCTGTCCTGCCACAGGAAGCATATCATTTCACCTGCACAACTTAATGGCAGCTAATCATGGCATGGTCCACTGGCTGCCTGGTCAGGCTGCCCCTTCCAAAGGCCTTGGAAAAACACAGGGTGTTTGGAACAGCAGTGGTGACTTCAAATGCCTGCCTTGCACAGCTCTTTGTGGCAAAAAAAGTGTGAGAAATTTTAAAAGAACCAAAAAGAACCCTAACATAATAAGGAACAACAGCAAAGTTTCAATTTCTTAAACCTCAAATCCCTCCCCCACTTAAAAGAAAAAGCATTTTTTGTGAAGAAAAATTAAGGAAAGGCTGAGGAGCAAAAAAAGCAGAAAAGAAAAGCCACTGACTCCTGTGTGCCTGAGAGTTTTTTTGCAGGATGTGGATTTTGAGGGGTGCTGTGTCTCAGCCTGGGAATCACAACAAAATGCAGGGAATTGGCTCTTCCTGCTTTGTCCTGAGAGCAGGGAGAGACATGAAAGTATTTTAAGGTCACTTGCACAATGGTGTGTGGGCCTGCAGATCCCATTTTCTTCCCTCTCCAAATGATGCCAGGGGATCACCTCACCCAGGAAAACGAGACTGTTCTGGTTTAGGGCAAGTTTGGGAGATAACCCCTAAAGGGGCTTCTCTACAAAAGCAGATTCAATTACCCCTCTGCCCCCAACCAGTTTGGGAGAAAATATCTCCTTGGAGAAAAAGTGGAAAGAAACCTGTTTATTAAACAATAGAACCTAAACAATATTAAACAATAAAAGAGACCATATGGAAAATACCCAGTGCATTATTCCCTGTGCCAGAGGGATATTTATAGATAAAGTAAATAATAGTGTCACAATCCAAACAAATAAGGAGAGGCTGCAAGGCAATGGAGTGTCTCCTCCCCCATCTCTGTGCAGGGCTTTGCCCCAGGAGGGGCCAACTGGGATCTTTTAAGTCCCTTCCAACCCAAACCATTCTATGATTCCATAATCCTTCCAAACTCAGCCAGTTTTGGAGAGCAGGTGGGAGCAGTCGAACCAGTCCCTTAGAGGACCAGGCTCCCTCAAAGTCCCTTGCCCAAATCTGCTCCATAAAACCATATAATGCTCAAGAGGCTGTATATTTTGGACACAAAATAGGGTCATTTCAAAGGAGTTTCTCACAAGAAGTGAAACCCTTCCCCTCAGCTGAGCAGTTCAGGTTATTATTCACTGTTTTGATCTAACCCACTGAACAAAATACTGCCTTTGCCTTTAGAAATGAAAAAATCCATTGAGCAAGTTCAGGCAAGCTCTCATTATAGGCTTCCTAAATTTATTCATGGAAAATTAAATATTCTCTTTAGATAGGCAGATAGGTACATATCTGTGTCTCCAAAGTGGTTTCAGGCTCTCAGTCTGTAAACTAATGGATGTAATTCCCTTTGCAGCACTACCTAGCATTGCTCTGGGGTGTGATGTTATTATGGTCATGGAAAGGAAATGAAGAGCACGTGGCTGACCTTTCCCAGCTCAGGTCTGTCTTCCCAAAGGAAGTGTGTAGAATACCAGCCATCTGGTTTATCCCGTATTTCCTTCCCACTGGAGGTTTATCTCATCATTCCCAGGAGTGTAGGAAATCCTGTTTCAACACAGCTTCTTCTTGTCCGCTGGACTTGTGCTGGAATCACAGAACACAATATTCCCAGCTGGAAGGGACCCATATGGATCATTAAGTCCACTTGAGGGAGGGAAGTATTGGATTTGGGGCCCTTGGGATGTGGCCCTTTGCAAATGACAGAGAAACAGTGATGAACTCCATGCTGGGGGACATAAAGCAGGTAGCAGAGAGGAGAGGTAGGAGAAATGTTCTCTGACAGTTTTGAAGTTTAAACAGGAATCAGAATTCTTGTCCTCATGTTTGTGTTTTGGTTTGGGTTTTTTTGTGCCTTGTATTTTGTACTGCTCTTCCAGAATAGGGCAGTACCTTCAACTGGAGAATAACAACATAGTTGTTATTACCTCATCTTCTAACCCTTTCACGTACTTTGCGTTGACAGTTCAGATGCAGCAGTTTGTGGACTGAAAGAAGGAGGATGTTGGAATTGAGAAGAAAGGATTTACTCCTTGGTGTTCAGTTGTCTGCAGTTAGGGAGAGGAGAAGTGATAACGAGCAATTGCAGTGCCTGACCAGTGCACAAAGCCAGTCCATCTCCCTGGGATCCACATTCTGTTCTGCTGTAGTTAGGTGTCAGATTCAAGAAGCTGGAGTCTTTGCTCTTTTTGGCAAAACACTGGACTTTCCATAGGAACATCCATCACCCTGTATTTCTACTGGGTGACTTTTAAAAGCTTGTTTCTGTGAAATGCAAACTTCTACCACTGGGATTTAGCATGCTTAATTTGTTCAGCATATGAACCATAGGTACCAGCTCAGTCAATAAACAACTCTTTTTCACTGTAATGTTTTCCACCTTCTTGAATCTTACTGCATTTTAGTCTTCAATTCAGGTAATTCTTCTTTTTAAACAAAAAAACAAACAAAAAACAAACATGAAGCAGGCAAAACTACATTTCCTTGTAGGGCACATTTAGATTGTATCCACGTTATCAGAGTTGTAGGTGTGTCAGTTTCTACAGAAGAAAAGATCCAGCTTTTGCCTCAAGATCACATGGATTTTGGATTTACTTGAATGGTGCAGAGGAAATTTTCTTTCTGAATCCCTCTTAAAAAAAATTAAATGCTGTCCTGTGAAGCTGGGTTAACCCAGACTGAGATACCAGGCTGCAGTTCACAGGATGGCCAGAATACACAGGAATCACCAGGGTGTGTTTCACAGCTGGAGCAGGGAGAAGCTCGTATCTTTATCTTTTCTTCTTCCTTCTCCTCTCCTTTTTCCATTGTCCTGTGCCGTGACTGTATTTCTTTGTCCATCTCACTGTCCTTTTGCCTATACCTGTCTGCATCTGCTGCTCAGTCCTTCTCCCTCGCTGTACTCTTCTCTTTATAACCCCCTGTCCTGATGCCCATCCCTCTCTTTCTCCATCCCTCTGCTGCACCTTCCCCCCACACCCACCTGCTGTGGTCATTTTCTCTCTCTGTCCTTGTTTCCCTCTTTGTCTCTGTATCCCCCGTCCTTCCTGTGTGTTTACCACTCTGTCTTTTTACTTGCCCTTCTCGTGTTTCTTTTTATTCCCCGTTGCTCTGTCCTGCTCCCTGTGCCGTTGTTTTTCACTGGATCCTTCTGTCCCGTTCCCTGTTCCTATTCTTTTTTAACCCTCTCTGTCGTCCTCTGGGATGCTGCCCATCACACTTGTTTTTATTTCATCTCCATTCCGCACCCTATTCTTCCTTTTCTTCCTGTGTCCTTTCTGCTCCCACTCCCGGTTTGTCTGTCCCTGGTGCTCCCATCCCGCTGCTGGATGGGTCCGTGAGCGCAGATTGGAATCCCGGTGCTCCCGCCTGACGAGGGCAGCAGCAGGGACGGGAGGAGACAACTCCTGCCCCGAGCGCAGGAAGGGAGTGGGAGCCGCGGCAGCATTCCGGGACAAGCTGCCTCCGGGCCGCGGGACGGCCGTCAGCCTGTGACAGTGAAACTGCCCTTCAAGGTCCCTTCCAACGCAGGCCATTCCATGATCCATGGAAGCACTGCAATATCTCCATGTGAATGGAGCAAAGTTCATAAATATAGGAAAGTTTTGATAACACTTGGGTTTTGTTGACATTTCTATTAATGATTGTTAAATCACGTGGGCAGATAACAGGACAGATAGGAAAATGGAGTTTGTCCCCACACTTATTTTTTATGCTTTTGTACATGTTTATCATGTTTATATAGAGATGTGTATTATTATACATATGTTTAAGGGTGAGACACATAATCTTTATGAATCTGCCAGGCTCTGGGGAGATTTACTTCCTCAGAAAATGATGATTCAAATGCGTATCATGGTAGGCATTGGTGTAGTGTGGGGTGTTGCTGAGTATTACCTGAATGGGTGCTTAAAGTGAGATACCTGCTCTTGCACCTTGTTAAAAGAGGGCCTGATTGTAGGAAATAAAACTGTTTGTCTGTCCCACATGAGTTGCAAATTTCTCCAGTGTTGTGGTGTCGTTCTTTGGTTTAATAAGAGTGAGTTTTCTTGTAATACTGACTTAAATAAAACAACTGCAAAATACTGGCATAATTTAGGTCCACTTTACAGCATTTTAGAGTTGTCATTTTTTGATTTCTCATTTTTTGATGGTCTCATTCTCTCAGAACAAATTTCATAACAATTACAGTAGATGTTTTTACAGTATTGAACACTTTTTTCTCGATTCCTGCCAACAGTAAGTTCTCTCCTCCTGTACAATCCCTTGTGATTGTTCATGGGCTGGTTTGGCTTTTTTAAAGAAAATATTTATGGGCATATTTTCCACAGTGTTTCTGCCTTTTACTAACATTTTCCAATTAATTAAACCTTAAATTTATTATTTTATATTATAGATATGTATTTGGGTTTTTTTTCCTATGCATAATTATCTTTGTTATCTGAAAATTGTATTTCATGTTAAATCCCTCTTGCTTCTCAAAATTATAATATGTTTTTCACCTTCAGCCCATGACCTTTTGGTGCCTTATATTTATTTATTTTGATATATTATGTTATTTGCCTCATTTCACATCAATTCAATCTTACTAAACCTGTCCAGAATCTACTGTATTATTGTGTTTGTGAAATTCTTCTGTGGGTAACGATGGGCTCATTTTGTCAGTAAAACTTTATTCCCATAGAAAGCATTTGGAACTGGCTACAAATCCAAAAGCTCAGCCCCAGTCCAGAAGTGCTTTTCATTGCCCAGGTCTCTGCCTGTCCTCATGTTTCAGTGAGTGTTGAGGAGCACCAGCAGATGGGGCTGAAATGCTGCAGAGTGAAACACTTCCAGCACAGAGTGAACATCAGGAGAGGGGGAATGTCGGTGAGTTTGAGCACCCAGTTAACTCCTGCTGTCTGCTGAATTTTCCAGAAGAGGATGCCCTGCTGCAGGAGGAGCCAGGAGGCAAAGAAGAGGCACCACAAATTGTGGATTTGGAGCAGCTGGTGCCCGTGGGGGGTGTGTACCACATCTCTGCCCTGCAGCTGCCACCCCAGGCCCAGGACGTCGGGGACTGGACCATGGTGGAGGTGAGGGAGGACAGGGATCAGCCCCTGGTGCCCCTGAGGAGCTGCTCCTGAGGTTTGTCACTGCTGTCACATGCACTGCACACGAGTTCCTGAGCAGCAAACTAACCAGGCAAGGTTTGCAAATCATCAGTTTTTCATATGTGAGAGGTGGAAGCACAGTGGTACCAAAAATCACTGCTGATTCAGCTCCAGGCTCTTCAGGCTGGTTGAGGGCTGTGGTCACTGGGTTCTGGTTTCCTCTAGCACTGACCTACCCCACAGATGGCACTGTGGAAACCTCTAATAAGCAAAATTCCCAAAAAGCCAAACTCAGAGGGCAGGACTGTGTTAGGAGAAGAGGCCCAGGATGTTCATTCCCAGCCCCTGTGACCTCTCCTTCCCTCTGACACTGTGGGGACAGAGTGGAATTACACCTGCTTTTGCCTCCTGTGCCCCTGTCTGAGGCTGGGGATCTGTGAGAAATGGCTGTGCCCATGCTGTGGCCCTGCCTTGAGGGTGCCTTCAGCAGCACAGGAAGGGGTCCAAGGCCTCCAGGTAGCTGCTCTTCTACTGCCTTCAAAGCTGTACTTGGAAATGTGCAGTATTAGCAAACCATTTTAAATGGTGTGTTAAAAGGCTTTACACTGATTAGATGAACTCAAAGAAAAAAATCACCCTGATAAACCCCTTATCTGTCTTTTTCCTCTCTTGCCAAAGCTGCTGGATATTGGATTGGAGGTGTATCCATATTCCTCAGGAGAGGCTGAAGATGGCACACAGGAAGCAGTACGGATAACCCTGAGGCTCCCTGATAATGTGATTTATTTTAAAGTGCCTGTACTAGCCCGATGGGATCCTGCAGGTGTGAACTTAAGACATAAATTTATTTTAAATTTGAATAGTGGAATTTATATCTGAGTTGGACTGTTGTTACAATCCAGCTGTAAAAATAAGGCCAGTTTGGAGCCTAGAAATAGTTTAGGGATGGCAACATTAATTTAAAAAATCCCAAAACCACCAACCTAAAAATCCCCACATCAATTATTACTTTTTGGTTTTGTTTTACTTCAGCATTACTGCCACAAGCCTTCCATGTACATCTTTCCATCTTCTTTGTCCAGGCCAGCAGTGGAGAACTGGTGGCATCAGCAAGATAACCTATGAAGCAGAAGAAAAGAGCATCACCTTTAGTATGGGTGCCTTTTATACAGTAGCCCTTCTCCAGGATGCTCATCTGAACCTGCCCTATCAGGCCTGGGAATTGCATCCTACTGGTGTGGATGAAGGACTCTTCACAGTTACTGCAGTCTTTGCAACCATTCAGATACAAATTAAGGTACTGTCAATAACTTTTTAATCAAACATTTGCAGTTAAAACCTCCATATTATTACAGTGTCCCTGATTAAGAATTTGAGATGCTTCCACAAGAGTAATTTGAATCTCTCTTCCTTTCCAAGCACTGCAGAAAGGAGGGAATAAGCAACCTCTCTGTTGGTTTGTCTCCACCTGTGAACTAAAACACATGGTTAAAACTTCTCCCAGCCAGACAAATGCTCCCATGTGTGGCTAGAGAAAGGTAGCACACCCCACTGCTGAAAGCTGCAGTGGCTTTCTCACTCTCAGACATCAAGAGTGACAGGTTGTTACTGTTTTGGGAACTGTGCTGGTTTTGGGAGCTTCTGTTCTGAGTTTAAAATACAGTCAAGAAAGCAAATTCTTGATAAGCTGGCTCAGCTCAGCCATCCACCCATACTCCCTGTTCCTTACACTGGTTCTGAAGAGGATTCACAAAAGCCGCCTTGCAAGAGCAGCAGGAAATCTTGCTCATGGAAAGCACTGAAAGTCCTGGCCTTTTGTTTGAACCCATGTGCACCTTCCAAACATGGCTTTAACATGTGAAGAAACTTACATTGACTCCAGGGACCATTTGGGTGGATATTTTCCTTTTTCAGAGACACTTTCCTTCCTAGTTGGTTGTTCCTGTACTTCTGCAGGTGATTCCAACTGCTCATTCCTGCAAACAAGAACCAACAGCTCCAAAGCTTTGCCAAATTCACAACAGCTTGGCTTTATAGCCCTGACCAGGTGATGAATTAAAAATTCATTAAAAACTAAAGCAGCACACCTGGGAGGAGGCTGCTGCTGAACTTACTTGGTTTCAAAAGGTTCCTCTTCATACTCTGCCCAGGAATAGGTGCTGAGGAACCTCTGCAGCGAAGGACGCTTCTCGTTCTGCTTCACCCCTAGCCTGCCCCTGCCATGTGTTAAACAAATTTGTCTGATTTTCCCCAGCAGATAGAGAACAGAAAATCAGAAATCTAGCAGCAGCCTACTCATTTGGTTAACCACAGACAAATAATTTACAAATTTAGTTGCTTGAAATGAGGATAATTAAAAAAAAAACCAAACAAATGAAATAAAACAAAACTACCGATCCATCCATTGCAGGTATTTAGACTTTACATTTTAGTTCTAAAGCAAGAAAGTTGTGGGATTTTTTTAAAGCTCTCAATGTTCATTAAATTAAATTTAAAAGGTGAGCTCATAAAACATTATTACAGCACATAAAACTAATGTGAAAGGTGTAGCCTAAGCATTATTGTACCCCAAGATGCTCCATAAACTGCTTACTACAGGTACAGTTAGAGTTGAAAAAATATTTCCCCCATTCAAAGACAAGCCCTGGTGACTTTACCAACTGCTTGATCTCCTGCTGAATGTGTCACTCCGTTCATCCCCATCAGGTTCATGGAACTGGGCCTGGAGGAGAAATTTGCCATGTTTACTGTACTGGCATTCTGACGCTTCATCCCAGCCAAGTTTTGGGGAGGTGAAGCACCTCAGCATCCCTCCAGCAGCCCCTACTTACCAGTGGCACCCCAATCCCTGCATTCCCAGCACTCCTGGGCACTGTTGCAATGCTAACTCTCCGCAGGGCTAACGAGGGCTACACAAATAAGAAGCATTACTGGCTCTTAGCAAGGCACAACTGAGTTATTCACTGAGCACACAAAATACCATCTGGTTTGTACAAACTATATTAAAAAAGGAGATGCTGACACTTAGCGTGAAGTGACACACAAAGAATCCCATTTCAAGCACAGATCAAATCAGATCTTTCAAGCAGCATCTTTCCACAGTAAGTGCTTTCTGGCCACCTGAGTGAGACTGGCTGCACAGCTTCCCGCAAAATACCAACACTGAAGGGTAACTAAATTCCCCTAACCTTGCCCACAGGAATTCTTACCCTCAGTTTGAGCTGCTCACATATTTTTGTGCTAAACCCTCCTTTAATTTGAAGAGAACCACACATGAACAGTATTTCTTAACCAGTGAGTGAGAGCCCAGCTATTTCACCTTCATCTTCTAAGCGGGACCACTTAGTTGGTGGAGTGCCTGGAAAGTAGATCCTAATGTTTGATGACACCAGCCCATATTTGTGACAGAAAAGCCAAGTCAACCATGCAGCAGAGCACCAGCATATAAAACAAAGAAAAATACACACACATTTAAAAAATTTGAAATTTCATGTAAGGACCATTACCTTAAAGTTAAAAGGACCTGGTATCTTCTTATTCATAGATTCATCTGTGAAGAGATGAGACATCAGAGCTTTATAGAAGGAGCTTGCTGCTTAGAGGAGTGCAGTGAGTTTAATTTGCAACATAAAGTCTGACTTTCTGCAGTGTTTGTTTAAACAAAGCACTCTCAGAAAGCAGAAATGAGGTATCAGGAAAAAGCTTTGTATTTCATTAAACAAGTTCATAACATTCACACATTACCCATCCTCTGCAAGCATTAACTCCTGTCACTATCATTCAATATATTCTATTATTGAGGTAGTGTCCTATTACAGGACTGTCTTTCACAGTCAGGACTGTAATCCAAAAGGCTCCTACAAGGATTTTATGGTGTGCAAGACTTTCCTTTTCGTGTTTAAAAACACATCCTATTTTTCAGAAGAATTTAATACTTCCCTGGCAAAGCTACAAGTGCACAGCACTGGCTGCAAATCTGGCTGCTTAGAAGCAAAAATAGAGGGCCCCTGCACTTGAGGGGTTTGTAATTCCCATGCAGAAAAGGGCAGGGTACAGGCTGTAGAGAGTAGCCAAAGCTCAGCTACCTAGAGATAACTACCTAGAAATAGCTACTGTGAACAAGCCCCTCAACTTACTGCTCATAAGGAATAAGATTATCACCAGCACATGCCATGCACTTGGCTTAAAGCCAGGACATTCCTGTGTACTTGCAGTGGTCCCACACACACACCCCCTGAGATCCATGACAGTTTAGGTACAAGTTAAATTTCAGAGAGCTGCTTTTAATAGTATTAATAGATGGCTATTCCTTCCCGCCCCCCCTTTTTAGAAGGGCTGACAAAACAACCATATAATTCTACCACCTAAGATGTGGAGGGATTACACAACTATTCTGCAGCTATAAGGGTCTGTCTGGCAGGTGCTAGCAAGGGGAAAGAGGTTTTTCCTAGTTACCTCTGTCTCCAAGGGAGCTGAATGACCTCTCGTTCTGGAGCAGGACCTGCTTGAGCTCCTCAAGCTCAGCATGTTCTTTGGTGTACATGCGCTTCAGGTTCTCCACGTGCTGGATCATCACCTCCACAGCTTTGCTCACCCGGCTCTCCTGAGGGAGCAGGGAAAGCAGCAGCTCTCAGGAACTGCCTAATATTTGGAGATTTCCCCCTCAAGCATCTGCTATCTCACTTTTATCCTCCCTTTCAAAGCTTCACTACAAACCCTGCCCTGACACATGGTACACAGGTTTCATTTCTCTGGGGATCACCCTTGTTGTAAAATAAATCAGTCTTCAGTTTTCCAGGCTCTTACAACTCATTATCATAATTTCCTCTGATCTACAGTCTCAGCTGCCACCATATATTTCCTGGTATTGCCAAGTCATATTTTCATGCTGCTCTGGGGTATGATACACAACTACACCTAACATTTGAGCAGGACTTTGTAAGTTTCCATAGATTTAGCTGATTAGCTGCCCTTTCCATAAGGCACAGAACCACATTTGCAGCATCAAGGCCATTGTTACCACACTGCAGGTCTTTTGTACATCTCACTGCTGCAGAGTCTTTATTGTTTGGGCTTTTTTCAACCAAAACCTTATTTCTGCTGTGGGTTGTTGCACAATTCTAGTGCAGCATAGCTGCTCACAGTGCCTGGGATTCCTTATAAGAACACAGAGAAGAAAAGGCCAGGACTAAGCTGTCCTGACCAGTCTACACTACACACACCAGATTCCCAAATGCAATCCTGGAACCATAAGCCCAATTAAGAAGATGTGGCTATCCCTTTGCAGCTAGAAGGTTTTAGCTTTGTACAAAGTACTTTTAGATGGAAAGTGTTACCTGATTAATAGCTCCCAACATCTCTGCTCTGCTGGCAACTCGAGCTGCGTATTGGCTAAGGAACTGCAGACTTTTCTGCAGCTTCTTAATGATCTCCTGTGCCTGGTTATCTTCTTCACACAAAGGAGCTAATGCCTAAGAGCACACATTGGTAAGAAAACTGGTTATTAACAGAGAATGAAGGGTTGAGCTGATGACACTGAGGAGCTGCATTCAGGCCCACATCAACATCCTTAAGTGTAACTCGGATAGAGAGCTCCAGGGGGGCAGACTGGAGCATAAAAGCAGCTGAAGCAGGGGTCAGGTGTTTCTGCAACAGAAAAATTCCCTGCTGCCTGAGCACACAATGCACTTAGATCAAGGTTACCCCTCCTAATCTCTCATATTTCAACTGCACTGCTCCAGAACTTCATTCATATTTGCTCATCATGTATCCCATGCACACACACCCCCGCCTTTAAAGAGCTGTTTTCAGAGAGACACTCACATCTACTTATCTCATCCACCCTACCAGCCCTGGCCAATACTGACCTCTAACATATTCACAGCATTTGAGATCTCCTTTTTCAAGTTTTCTTCAGCCAGGTCTCGGGACCTCTCTTCAAGCTTCACTCTTTTGTCCAAGGTAAACAAGTCACACTTAAAACCTAAAGACAGCCTCAGAAATTCAGCCTGTTGTGGGAGAAAAGACTTCAGAGGAATCCAAGTGATGCAGAAGTTTATGTAGATTTGGACACCGATATGACATTTGGGGCTATACCCTGTGACCAAAGTTTAGGAGAAATACAGAAGAATAAGTGAACGCGACCCACTTCCTTAAAGCAGGTCTTCCTGTCTGTAGTGATGGTGGGAATGTTCTGCAGCCTGAAGAGGTGACATCCTGGCAGTACACTGTGCCATCTGTGCCTTTTGACAAAGCTGTCTTAAATCAGCACATTCTGCCTGGGAGGAGGTCACAGCTGTGCTCCTTCAAGCTTGCAAA